CGGGAAACAAAGGGCGGCACGGCTTCAGCGCTCCCCGTCGCTCCCGCGGGACAAGATGCGCCGGCTGGGCTGACAAAGCTCCTGCTCGGGAGGAGTCGAGAGAACGGCAGCGGCCAGGGAATGCCCCAGCGAGGAGGAGGGCACGGGTAAGCGCGGGGAGGGCGGCCCGGCACACCTGGATGAGCCTGCTGCCAGGGATGCTCTCCAGGACGGCTGTTTTCTGGGAAGGCAGCTTTCCCTCCCGCGGCCCAGAGGCGCCCTCTGCCCCGCCCCAGCGGGAGCCCCGCCGCAGCCGAGCCCCACCGAGCGTTCCCGCCCGGAGCTCCGCTCCGCCGCCCCGCCCGCCGAGCCCTTTGTCCGCCGCGGGAGGCGCCGGGAGCCGGGAAAGGGGGGCTGCCTTCGGAGTTACCGATGGAGACCTCCTGGGCGAAGGCGAGGGAGATGAGGAGCAGCGGCAGCCCCACGGCGATGCAGGTGACGATCTTGTCGAGCGCCAGCTCCAGCCGCAGCCCCTTGTAGCGCGTCTCGGGCGGCTCCTTCAGCAGGAAGTCGGAGAACACGTACTCGGTGGCGATGTGCGCGATGGCCATGGCGGGCACGGCTCCGCACGGCTGGGCCGGGCTGCCCCGGGCCGTGCTGGGTTAGGCCGGGCTGGGCCCCGCCCGGCTCCGCCCGGCGCGGCTCGGGAACGCCCCCGCGGCCCGGCCCGGCCCCGCCCGGCTCGGGGCGGCGGGCGCGCTGCGGCGTCCTGCGGCTCGGGACGGGCGCTGGGGCAGTGCCGGGAGCCCTGGGGTCACGGAATCGCACAATGGCTTGGCTTAGAAGGGACTTTAAAGATCATCTGGTTCTAGCCCTGCTGCTGTGGGCAGGAACGCCTTCCACTAGACCCGATTCAGCCCGGCCTTAAAAGCCACCAGGGATGGGGCATCCACAGTTTCTCTGGGCAAGCTGTGCCACCTGTGCCACCATCCTCACAGTAATGAATTTCTTCGTAAAATCTATTCTAAACTCACCCTCATTCAATTTAAAGCCAGTCCCCTTTCTCCTATCACTGCATGTCCTTGTAAAGTGTCATTCTCCCTCTTTTTTATAAGCCCCCTTAGGTCCTGAAAGGCCACAGTGAGGTCTGTCTAGAGCCTTGTCTTCTCTGGGCTGAACTCCCTCAGTTTGTCTTCTAGGAGAGTTGTTCCAGCCCCTGTACAGAGCATCTTTGTGGCCTCCTCTGGATGTGCTGTTGCATGTCCATGTCTTTCTTGTGTTGGGGGCCCCAGAGCCGGACACAGCACTCCAGGTGTCAACACACCGAAGCAGAGGGGCACAGTCACTTTGCTTGTCCTGCTGACCACACTCTTTCTGATGCAGCCCATGATGAGGTTAGCTTTCTGCACTCTGAGCACAGTTTGTTCATGTCCAGCTTTTCATCCACAAGAGCCCCCAGTGAGGGGGGCTTTCCATGGGTTCTCCCAGTCTGTATTCATGTCTGTGGTTGCCTCAATGCAGGTGCAGTGTTTGAATGGAGATTTCTTGTGTCGAGTTTGTGCCCATCAGCTCAGGTCATCTCAGCAGGCACTGCCAAGAACACCCTGACTCTGTCCATGCTTCTCTTCCATCAGCTGTTTGCACACACTGTGGAGAGCCCCCGAGGCACTTTCTCCAGGCTGGTGAGCCCCAGCTGTCTCAGCATTCATGTCCCCACCACAGTCTGACAGATGCTCCAGGCCCCTAACCTGCCTAGCACCATGTACTGTGGCATTTTCCCCACCCAAAATGTTTCATCACTGCTTTTCAGGTCAGTCTTTTTGGGGGAGTCACTGGGATGCCTTCACCTTTAATAACCTTTAATTTGTTTGCCCTCTGTACTTTTCCTGTTGGTTTCTGGACCTCTGTGAGCTTGGAGTCACAGAAGTCAGGAGTCACAGAAGAAGTCACATGTCCACCCCATGAAGAGCCACTTCGTGTGCTTTGTTTTCATGTAACAGTCCCCCAGCTCATTGCTTTCTACAAAAAGGACAAAATATTCCCTTCTCCACTCAAATTCCCCTTTATAAAACTGCTATCCTCTCTGCTTTCAATTGTCCTTCATATTTTTGCCAAGCCATAAGCCAAGGAAATCAATCCTCATATGGAAACTGTTCTACAACACCGATTCCCCTTCTTGTTCTTTTTGTGCTGGTCTTGTGCTCCTTTGCTGGATGAGGCCAGGAGATTTGACTCATGCTGTATATAAGATGCAGGTGCCCCAGACATTTATGTAATGGAACTAAGTGGTTTTCTGTTTGTTCTACTCTTAATTTGTACTGATTCCTAATATTTAATTGGCTTTCTGCCCACTGAACAACACTGGAGCTAATGTCATTAAAGTATTAATAAGATCCCATTTTGGAGATGTTTAGACAGTATGATACACATAAGGGTAGGATTGCTTTTTCCCACATGTAGTACTGTAAATGTATCAGTAATAAATTTTGCCCTTTTTTTCAATGATTTTTCATGCTATATGTGCTTAAGATTGTCACTCAACTTGTCCACTCTTTTTCACAACACTTAGAGAAAATACTGAAAAGCAAGGACAAGCAAGACATGCTGCAAGTCATGTAGCACCGCATGAGTGACTTTCAACATGAAATCTCAACACTTTTCGCTGTCTTTTAACCAGTTATTTAACCTTCATGGACTCCTCATCCCATGGTGATTTCATTTCCTTAAGAAGCTTTAAGAAGACTTTCTCAAAGATCTTAAGGAAATGTAAGCAGGTTATATTCATCCGCGCTTCTTATCTATGCACTGAGTCCTTCAAAAAACTTTCTAAGGCAAAATTTTCTTGTTGGGGAAAAAAAAGAAGTATGAATTATTCCATGTTCTCTTCTGTTCCTTTGGACACTTTCCTGGTTTTGTTTTTAGAACAGTTTCAACCAGCTCCTGTTGTGTGGCTGACAGAGCTGTTTGATCCTCTGGAAAGTTTTTAAAGATTGACCGTGTGTTTGTCACCTTTCAAGCTTTTGGATTTAGGACAGTTCCCAACTGCTACCCCACTTTATAATCCAGATTTTTCGTATTTGAGGGCCTGTAGCACTCCGTGGAGAACAGCCCTGCCTTGGTGACTTGATTTTCTGTTAATTTTGTTGCTTAACTCTGTTCCTGCTGCTGTTTCAGCCCAGCACAGATGCTGTCCTTCACACAGGTGTCAGGGCACAGCTGGCACAGGGCTGCCTGCACCAGGCAGGCAATGGTAAACTTGCTGCTTTACACTTTTTGTGACGTTTCACGATCCCTGTGGCAGGCTGTGTCCCCTGGTCCGGCAGCAGTGATATCCTGGGGCCCTTTGTAGCCTTTGTTCTGGTTCCACAGCCACTGTCCAGCTGAGGAACGGGACAGAGGAAATGAACTGGGCCAGAAGGTTCATACAAATAGTTGGGGTTTTTTATTATCAGTGTAATCACTTTGGCAATCTAGTTTCTACAGTCAAAACATACTTATGACTCTGTTTCTAAAACATCAGGTACATTAGCTACCCTAGAAGTGAAGTACCAAATAATTTCCTTTCTTAATAGTGCATTTTGAGTGAAAGGCTTTAATTTTATATGTATGCAGAGAGCTAAAGTTCTGCACAGACAGTATTTTTGCACAGAACAGGAGACCCCAATTTTAAAGCTTGGAGGACAGGAAGATGAAAGGGTTTAGAGTATCTGTTTTTGCCAGGTCCAATTGGAGATTTTAAGGAGATTTTTGGTTTTTTTGATGTGATGTAAATTCTATAAGGGCTTGGTCCTGCATTTGTACTTTATGTGGCTTGGTCCTGCATTTGTACTTTATGTGCGTGCTTTCAAATGACTGAGGAAAACAAAGAAATTACTGAGAAACCTTCAACATATTTTTTGACTGGATATCAATGCAGGACACATTTAAGCTACAGTAAGAGCATTGCACAGTAAAATTTCCTACCTTTGAACATACTTTAAAGTACAGAAGTGGAAAAAATAAAATTTAAAAAAACCAAAACAGCAACTTGATTTTACATTCAAAATCAAATTTGTGTAAACAGTTTTGCAAAGGTTTTTGTTCTGGAATTCATCTGCTAGAGCTATAGCAGGCATGAGCAGGCAAGAATGAACACAACCTAACAAAAAATTAGCTATAAACATTCAAGTATCACTAAACATGTCCTGATTCTGTCTGTCTGCCTTGCAGAGCACAAAGGTCATCCTCCTGATGCCTTCATTACAGGTAGGGAGAGAGGTGTTGCTCAGTGCAAAGAAGAGGTACAGAATCAGGACCATAACAAGCAGCATTTACAAAGTCAATCTCTTGGAGGTTGTTCAGAGCTAGATTTTTAGAGATAAATAAAAGCTGTTAGAAACTAACAGCAGGGGCACTGCTGAACCTATCAGGTGCTAAAATTTATTTGTAGGTCTTCAGAAATCTGTCCCCAGTGCAAAGTTTCATCATTTAACAGGGAAAAATAAAAGAGACAATCACTTGAATGGTGGTGAATTCATTGAGCCAGACTTTGGGAAACGGCAGGGACTTGGAGATTTGCACCTGCTCCTTCATTAGCTGACAACTTAAGCCAGTCCCTGATGGTGTTTATTTTCTAGTGTGAACCCCAAGTTTCTGCACAGAGCACATGGATGCCATTCTGCCTGCTCCTTACTCCTGTGAAAACCCAGAGGATGCCAAGAGGTGTGTGCTGCTCTGCTCAGCTGCCAGATTGGATCTCGGACAGAGCTCATCTGAACTCCAGAGGAGTGGAAATGGTGATGGGTGGTACCTGGCTCTTGGAGCTGAGACCTACAGCTCGTGTTCACTCTTGTGAGCACTGGCCATGGGGTAGGACTGTCAGCATATGCCCTGCTCCAGTTTTATTAGCAGCATGTTGCCTGGCAGTATTAGGTTAATGGCTGGACTCAATGATCTTATAGGTGTTCTCCAAACTTAATGGTTTTATGGTTCTGTGTTGTGAAATCTAGTGAGTCCCTGTGAACGATATTAAAAGTGGGGATTTACAGGGAATCTGCCAGAAATGCACTTTTATCATCCAGAGCTGTGTAATGGATTCTATTTCCTTGGTGGGTGATGAAGCAGAAGAAGATTAATGCTGTTGACAGTAGAACAAGTCCAATGCAAAAAAAAGCTGCGAGTATCAGGCTGGCTTCTCCAGGACTCAAAGTTTTGCCGAAAAAATTGCCCACTTTGTTGTCATAATCTGTTAAAAGAGAGTTGTTAATGAGAAATCTGCACATGAATCTGAAGAGTTTGAAATGGCATTTTGAAAAATCCTTACCCTTTGCAGTGGTTTTATTTGTTGCAGGAGTTGTGTTGTATGTTCCAGCTGTGTGTCCTCCTTCTGAAGGAACTTCCCACTGTCGTCTCTCTTCTCAGGGTGAAAAAAAGGCATAGTTAAGTTGGAAGCCGTAATAAATATTTTTTTCCTCTTTTGAAAATATAGAGTTGACTTTATTTCATTATTTCTACCTTGTTGATCTGAACAGAAATTGTGGTTAGATCATCACAACTGTTCCTCTGGGTGGCTCCATGGGCAACATTTTCCTTCTCTGTAGGCATCTCTGTTACTCCACTACTTACTGTAGTGATGGGACAAGGAGTAACTTTTAAACTGAAAGAGGGTAGATATAGGTGGGGTATAAGGAACACACTTTTTATGATGAGGGTAGTGAGGCACTGGCACAGGTTGCCCAGAGAAGGTGTAGATGCCTCATGCCTGGAAGTGTGCAAGGCGAGACTGGATTGAGCCTTGAACAACCTGGTCTAGTGGAAAGTGTCCCTGTCCATGGCAGCGGGGGTTGGAATAAAATGATCTTAAAGGTCCCTTCCAACCCAAACCATTCCATGATTCAGTTCTGCATTTGCTTGTCACAGCCCACATGAATATGTGTGGTCAAATAAATTCATCATATCCAAGGAAGGAGTATTTTGGCTACATTTGGCATCTACATTTGTTATCGTGCTGCTACAGGGTTATAGGTATGAGATGTGCCTACTGGCACTGTTTCAACTCTTGTAGAGGAGTGTAGCCAGCACAGTGAGGACCTAGATGCTGGATCCAGATGTTTTGTGGAGTAATGTGATGTGGAGAGGCTCACAAAACACTTTCAGTTTCACACACATGTGTTGGAAGAGACAAGCACCACTCAAAAATTTTGCCAATTTTTCTTAGTCAAGAGATCACCTATTTCTTGGACAAGATGAGCAACCATTTTTTGGAGCCCCTTTTATCCCAGCTGGTGTCTGCCTGTGCAGGGAGAAGCCCAAACAGCTCTGCAAGTCATCAGGGCCCACAGGAAGGAACCAGCACCATGCCAGACTGTAGGCCCTCCCGCAGAGTGTAGCAAAAAGGCTGGAAAAACAGCTTTGCAGGTGTTTTCTATGCTACCTTTAAATGACAAAAGGTCCCTAGGCTGCCACTGTCTCAGAAGGGCACTTGTGAGGCACCAACTGCTTTCAAGTCGCAGCAAAGTGCACCAAAGATTGCCATGTCATTAGGGGTGTTTGTCCTGTCTCCTGTCACTGCTAACTGGCCATGGCAGTGCAGGTGCTTCCCACCAGTGCACAGGTGAGCTCTCTTCCTTTTGTCCCAGATTCCATCCAATTGTGCTGCAGTACCACCTCTGAGTCCTAGGATGTGTCTGATACTGCACCTGATTTATTGATGGTGTAGGTTGTCTCCATGCCAGCATGGATGTGGTCAGCCACGTGACAGTGCAGAAGCCACGTTCCAGGGTTTTCTGCTACGAGTTCAACTGTCTGGAAAGTCCCAGGGAAAAGGTCATATACATCTCCTCTGTGGTCCTTATCTGTCTGTGGCAAAGCAAAACCAGAATTATGAGAGTCGTGCCTCAAATACTCCCCTGTGGGCACTGAAATATTCCAGTTAGAATTCCAGCTCCTTAAGATAGATCAAATGCTTCTTGTTCATTTCTAGTGAGCATCATCCAGAGAAACTGAGGTCTGTGGACACCTCTCATTTAATCCATTATACAACAACAGCAGACCCCTTCTGTTGACTCCAGCTTTTGGTTGAGCAAAGGCGTTTCTTTGAAAGACAGATTTTTCAGGTAGTCCTGCCGGTGGTAAACTGTCACAGCATAAAACCATACTCTAACCCGGCATAACTCTAATTTCCTCCCTGTATTTTCCCTCACACTTATGGGTAATCACATATTTTAACCCACCTAAGCATGTCCTCTACTAGGGAAATAGAAGCTTTGCAAGTATCGCGTTCATTTTGTATTTCCTTCAAATGCAAAACTCCCACCAACCTCAGCATCTGCCCAGGGTTCTGTGCCTAAGTGACAAAACCAGGCTGGAAGTATGGATTTTTTTGTTTGTTTGTTTGTTTGTTTGTTTTTCTCATAAATTTCCCATAACACTATAAAAGTTTTACTTTGATTTATTTTACCAACCTTGAAGATGAAGGTCTGTGCATGGAAGTGAACTGTGTGGATATCCACTTCATTGCCCATTCCTATCAAATACCAGTTTGTCCTATCACCTTCATTCATTGTTAGACCCAAGAGACTGTTGTAAATCTTCCCATTGATTGCTGGAAGAATGACAAAATAGGAATGATTAATAATTTGCCATGGTATGGGTGATTAGAACCTCCACTTCAGGCACCCTTTGCACTTTCAGGGGAGAAGGAGTGCTCAGGAAGAGAAGGGACAGGCATGTGTGGTCAGGACATTTGCTGTCCCCAGTGACCACTGCCACTGCAGGGAGAGAGTCATGCTTTTGTTTCAGTTTCCAAATTGTGTAAGTATACACAACAAACATCTTTCTGTCTTACAGAGCATCAAACTGGTTTTTTACTGGTTAAGATTGAACTCCTGAGCAAACTGGATTTATGCTTAGAAGGTACATGGAAAAAGAGGGAATAGAATTGTTGCCTAAAATGGCAACAATTCTACAGCAGTACCAGCTGTAGAAAGAAAAGATTGCTTTGCCAGGGCTGTGTGTGTGTCCCCATCCAGTCTATTCAGCCTGGCTCCTGGACTGGCTGCAAATACAGGCACAGTTTCAAAATATCTTCCCTATGCTCCTGAAAAACAAGACTTGGAGGAGCACAGCTCCCAAATGGCAAGGGAATCCTGGCAGGGCAGCCTCTTCCTGAAAGTATAAGAGTAAACTATCTTGTTAGAAAAATATCTTGGCTGGGCCTTGTGAAATCTTATTGTTTTCAGCATTGCAGTTTATGAAGTTGTCACATGGCTGGGTAACTGCAGGCTGAGTCCAACGTCTTCATAAAAGGACTGTGAAAAATAAACCTCTTTCCTCTCGGCTGCTGCTGCCAAGTCCTACATACCGTGCTTGCTGTTGCCTTCTACAAAGTTCTCAGTGGAATTAAAATCCTCAGGATTCTTGTGAAGGTATGTTTCAATATTTTCTTTCAAATACCAGGATTCATTTTCATCGAACACCATAAACAGAAGAGTAAATTCACGATCGATATCTTTCCTTAGACCTCTTTCATTTAAAGTTCCTTTTCTGCAAACTACCAGAGGCCCAATCAGACCACTGTATGTGTCCTGAAATAAAATAAATATATGTGTTACAGATTTTCAGTTCATTCAGGTATGAAATAGATACAGATTAGCTGAACATTAAATTGCTTTTTCCTAGCAGATGAAGAAAAAAATCAGTCTGATTAAAAATTTCTTTCTCTGCGTGTCTCTCTGGTAATTTACCAAAGCAATGACATCCAGTGCTCCCTTTCAACCTTACTCATTTTGTGATTCTGTGATTTTGTGTAATTTTGTCTTTACCCCAAATCCCTTCAACTATTCTTTAAAGAGGAAATCACATTACTGTGGTGCATCCATTGGGATTTCCATAGGTTAAATTACCCAGGCATGTACAACTGTTATCAGAGGACAAAGCATCTAACTCTGTAAATGATTTCTCTAGCCTCTGGTTCACTCCCAGCTGAGAAGCAGGATCCTTTCAGAAAGATTACACAAGGCATGACGTGTTAGCCAAAGCAATGCAAGCTTTAATGGCCATTTCTTGGTTACCTTAACAAAATTTGCTGTTGAATAATAAACCCAAGTGATACAATTTGGATCTGTTTTGCCGGGACCGGATCGTTCTGGGATGTTCCACCTGTAGGTGTTTATTTCCCCTGAAACAGAGAGAGAACAATTTTACCTTCAGCAGCTAAGTATTAGAGGCTTTGAATAGTATCTAACTCAGACATCCTACTCTCCTCATCAAAAAATTGTCTGTATCAAAACTACCTGTGGAAGCATGCAGCAATGGGATGGGTTTATGATTCTGCCTTCCAGGAGGTCATTGAGGTTCCAGTGGTGTAAATGAAGGCAGATTGCTCCAGAAAAGAAGACCTGCAAATGATTCTGATGAAAGTGGCATCCCACAGAAGGAAGTTTACAGACAGGACTCTTCATCTTTCCCCTTGGCAAAACCTGCAGTAATTCAATGATCTTGGCTGCTGATGCTTAAGGTCAGATGAGGCATTGGGAGCCAAGCGCAGAAAATGTTTCTTGGACCTTCTCAATTGAAAAGGACAAAAAGAAGTGGCAGTTGCCACTGGGATTTTGCAGAGGGTGCTGCAGAAGTGTGTTAGCTGGGGGCCCAGACAGGAGAGCTGGATATGTACCAGCCTGCTGTCTGGGAGCAGCAGTGGGGTTCTTTCCTCTTCCAGATAAGACCTTTCTCCACAGCAGTTACCAGAGAACCTCTATCCCTTCCCAAATGCCATCATCTCTGCCACATCCTCCCTGAGCAGAAATTCCCTGACCTCTGATTTTAAAAAAATCTAAAAAAAATCTATGAGGATATCATCTATTTTGGTGAGGATCATTTCTCTGCACTGGACACAAACATCTGTGTTCAGATGAACTGCCTATGCTGTGTTTCCCTGCTTTGTTTTCTTGCTGGTACTGCAGGAAAGGGTAGGAGACCAAGATGTGGTCAACACCTTGCCCTTTTAAGTGGTGGAGAAATGTTGAACCAAGCAATCTCTGTCCCAGAAGTCTTTCAGGGTGACAACAGCCAAGAGCATCGTGGGACATGCTACGAGTCAGGTGAAAACCAGGAAATCACAGAACCACGGTTTTAGTACAGCTACAACCCAACAGCTGCCAATAGCTGTGAGCATCTGGGGAAGGAGAGTTTTCAAGCTTTAAGGGTTGGGAAGTGACTGAGCCTAGTTTTTGTGTCACTGAGTCACTACACTGTTCATGCATCATGCAACAGTGGGTTTTAATTGTACAGCTGTAACTACAGAAACAAAAAAATGGTGACTCTCAACTCTCATACAATATGAGATGGGTCTCATGTAAGTATTGCAATATCATTTACTCTTACAGGATAAGCATCATGTCATGGAGACATTAAGTCCATATCATGGAGACACAGGCCAGGGAAATGTTTCTCATCCACCTGTAGCTAACCTACATGTAATCACTTCTTTTAGAGGGTGTGATCTAGGAAGGGAGGCTGGTCATGGTCCTCCACTCCTTCCTTGCTTTTTCCTCCTCAGCTCAGGATGTTTGGAGGCTGTAGATGGAAAAAATCTCCACCCTACTTAAAAGCTGACACGCTTCAGAAGGCATCGAAGACCTATCTTTGAAGTGCAAATAAGGCATAACCCCTGAAAAAAGCGATAAACATGAAGAAAATTGATGTTTTCTCCCTTTTTTTCCTTCTGGGTAATTGGAAGAATGGTCAGGGAGAGAACAAAGCTGTGTCAGATGAGAACTGGTTTAGCACAGGTTGCTATGGATATGCTCTCTGCATCTATTTACCATGCCCTCCACAGTTTCTTTAGGACAGGGCAGTGCTCTCAGGAGTACAGTTTGTCAGGATGCAAATCTGTCTGATGACTGATTTAGGATTTAGTAGAATTAGACAGTCTTTGGCAAGTGTGGGGTAAGCAGTCCAGCCTAGGCTAGGAAGAAAGACAGTGAGGACTTCTAGATCATGCTGGTGGGGACTGAGGTGCCCAGGAATTTTTCTTATTTTCAGGGATTTAATTTCTATGTTAACTGCTCTTTCTAAACTCTTAAGGAAAAGTCAGTCCTTAGGTCTTGCTGAAGAATGCTTTTGGCTTACTCTCAAACACAGACACCTTCCCTCATCTAACTCATCCCAAGCCTGCTCCCATGTGGACACAGGAGACATGACAGTAGTGTGCCCGTTGTTACATCTCGAACACCAGCCTGACAGTGCCAACAACGCCATGGAGCCAATAACAAAACAAGGGAATTGTATAGACATCATTTTCTTTCCCCTCCTCCATGTATTAACCTCAGGTATACATTCATCAAACTCCAGCAAGGCAGATGTTGGCTCACATTTGGACATGAGTTTCTGTGTATTTGTACTGTACCGACACAGCTGCTCACAGGAAAGAAATGTCAGCTTGTACAGAGCTTTATTGCATCAAATTTTCTTTTCATTTGGTTTCACACTGGAATTCACAAATACCGCAAAAAAATGGCATAGGTGTTGGAAAGCAAAGGTGGGTACATTTTGGATTGACTACAATGCCTGGGTTTGACTTCCTACTTAGAACATAAACCCAACAAAAAAATTGAAGTTCAAAAAGTTAAACAGGATTTTTTCTATATGAAAAACTATTTTCCACTGTTTTCCTCACTAGAAACTTTGGTACACTTTTCCAAAAGTTTGGTACAGTTTTCCAAAGGTTATTAATTCACATGACAGCTACATTTGGCATTTTATGCATGACTCTGAATGCAAATGGCAATTATCTGTAGCTTGAGACAGGCAGAGTTAATATTAACATCTGCAATTCTTACATCTGAATTTGAAAGTTCTAAAAACATTGTTAGAGTGTCAGATGAAATGGTAAATATATACCTAGAGAAGGTTATCCTGAGGGAAGAGTATGAAACTGTATCAGGAGAGGCTTAGTTTCAGTATTAGGAAAAGGTCCTCCACCCAGAGGGTGGTTGGGCACTGGAACAGGCTCCCCAGGGCAGTGGTCACAGCACCAGCCTGAGAGAGCTCAAGGAGTGCTTGGACAATGCTCTGAGGCACATGGTCTGACTCATGCAGGGCCAGGAATTGGACATCGATGATCTTCCAACTCATGATATTATAAAATTCTATGATTATTTTATGACCAGTTGTTGCCCGCTTTTCACCCCATAAAAACATGAACTGATGGTTATTTCATGATGAGTAAAATGATGTCTTGCCAATTGCAAATGCAAATCCATCTCCTTAATATTGTCTTAATCTGTTTACAAGAGTCTCCCCCATGTTACAAGCTCTGAAGCTAAGGTGAATCCTAGAATTACCATTATAGCACTCCTTGGGATACTCCTTATTCATGTTCAAGAATAAATTCTTTAATTTGGAAAGGATCTTTACACTCAGCAATGTCATAAATAGCATGTAAAATCACTGACACCTGGAATAGGCATCACTGTTCCATATTTTCCATCTTTAAAAAGCTATAAAACATCTTAGTTTTTGGAAAGCAGTCCCCTCCCTGATCACAGGCTTGGTCTGTGGGACATGAGAGCTACTTGCCCAGGATTTCCAAGTGTTCCTCCTCTTCTGTCCTCACTTTGCGCTGTGTGAAGTTGCTGCTTGTGTACTCCCGGTAAACCACCTTCTTGTATTTTGAACCGATCAGGTCCTCTGCTTGGCTCAGAAAAACATGCCCATAGCTGCAAAATAAAATGCAATAAAAGCACTAAAGTGTACAGAGCTGAAAGCTAGTAACTGTTGTGCTATTCACAACAGATTCAATGAGAATATACAGCTTGATCCAATGTGCTGATGGATGTGAAGGCCCTGAGAGATGCAAGAGGTTTTGAATAGCAAATAGTTCGAGAGATAATCCTCACTGAATGCACACCCTCTTCAAACAGGTAAAACTGAGGATAAGCTGCACTCTCCAAGAATTTTGGGAACACAAATCCTTCACCAGGGCTGGAGCAGGGGTAAAGTGTGAGATGAGAATGGTTTCAGCTGCCCTCTCCATCGTTCACTCCAATAAAAGATACTGCCTGTCCCTGGAAACCTGAATCCTCTTATCATGATGGCTGCTTTTGCTATCTTGGCTATTAGCCACAAGAAGACGATAAACAAAGCTTGACCTTTGAAAACAAATGCCATCATCCGAGAAAAGAGGGAGCTGCTTTACCCTTCCCTCTTGCTGCTGTGTACTGCACAGGTTGGATGCTTTCCCAGCATGATGATAAAAGGAGAAATGTATTTTCCATTCTGCACCTTGGAAGAGGATGCTTTCCAGGTTTACCCTCGGTTTGTTGCTGTTCCCATGGGATCCCAGAGGGCTGACTTGCCAGCAGAGGACACTCACAACCCACTGTGCAGCTGAACATTAACCCTCTTCTGGGAGCAGCTGTCTCCTGGCAGCTCATCTCCAAGGTGCCCCTGGCAGGGGAGTTGCAAGGCTGGCTCACGATACACTAAATAAAACCAAAAAACTGCCCCAGGGATACTGCTTACTGTGTAGTGAGCTGTGCGTGCAACAGCAGCCTTTGACAGTACTGGAATTTATGTTTTCTTTAAAGTCACATTATCCCCTGAGACTCTTCAGGTGTATTTTTTACAGACTCCTCTTCCTCTGTACAAGGAGCACTTTCACAGATGCTTTTCTAAGGTTTATTTTTGACATATGTTCCTTTTTGCTTTCACCAAAGTGTCTTCAGAGACCAGTCTATGCAATATGATCTGGAATGTGTATTTTTTTCACAAGTTTTCTATTCCTCACATAGTAGAGTGATTCAGTTGCAGGGTTACCTATGTTCTGATCTTTTCAGGGGATCTACCATGCTGCTGGAAAGCAGACTCAGCACCCCCATCATGCATCTGCATTGCCTACAGGAGCTCACATCTGGAACAGGTGCCTGACTTTCTCCTCTATGAAAACCAGAAGTCTGGGATGGCAAGGCTGGGGAGAGGTAGGGAGAGGAGGGGTTGGGGAGCATCACTGTAAAGTTGAGCCAGGGCTGGAACACAAACTTGGAAGCCTTCTTGAATTCAACAGCATTACAAGACACTCTGAAATGAAAGCATTTGAAACTGGTGCCTATGAACTAGTCTAGACTGAGAGGCTGTGACTTTGTAAAGGCATTTTCTCATATTATGTTTGGCGAAGAGTTCCTCCTAAAAACACAAGGTTGGCATCATGAAGGGGTGCTTCAAAATTTCCCCTCCACTGTAATTACGTCCTGTGCCCACAGCTTTTTTTTGGGTTGGGTACCTTTCCTCATAGCTGCTGATGTTGTAAACCTTTGGTGCCGAGCTCTTATTTGAGGCATAGTCCCACTCAACCTCCTCTGCAGCAATGTAGTAGAGCCTCATGGCTCCACGCTGCTGCTGGGCTTGGGTGGGGTTGTGGCAGCTGCTGACCTCGTAGAGATGTTTCATCCCACCAACAAAGTGATCAAAAGTCCTGCAAACCACTTTGAATGTGCCTGGAAAGAAAAGCACATGACATTTAAGCAATTAAAAAAACCCAACAAGCATCTTGGCAAATTAGGTCCTGCGTACATCTCTGATCTGTTCTCAAATAATCCTAATGTATAATGTTGTATGGAAAGTCAAGCAAGGGGATGTTTAAATAGAATGATCGAATATTCTACGCTGGAAAAGCCCTCCAAGATTATCAAGCCAGCCACTAACCCAGCACTGCCAAGTCTAGCACTAAACCATGTCCCTAAATGCCATCTCTTCTAAAAGTGCCATCTCTTTACAATCTTTTAAATATGTCCAAGGATTGTGACTCCACCACTTCCTGGTCAGCCTGCTCCAATGAACTAAAACTCCCTGATGCAACCTGAGGTTATTTCCTCTTTTCCTGTCACTTGTTACTACTTGTGAGAGGAGACTAACACCCAGATAGCTATGGAGAGTGAGAACATCCCCTCTGAGCCTCCTTTTCTCCAGGCTAAACACTCCCTCAGCCATCTGTCACCAGACTTGTGCTCCAGACCCTTCCCCAGCTCCGCTGCCCTTCCCTGGACACGCTCCAGCCCCTCAATGTCTTTCCTGCAGTGAGGGGCCCAGAGCTGAGCACAGGATGGGAGCTGTGGCCTCAGCAGTGCTGAGTACAGGGGGACGGTCACTGCCCTGCTCCTGCTGCCACACCAGTGCTGATCCAGGCCAGGATGCCATCGGCCTTCTTGGACCACCTGGGCACACACTGGCGCATGTTCAGCTGCTGTTGTCCAGCATCTCCATGTACTCTTCTGCTGAGAAGTTTTCCAGACACTCTGTCTGCAGCCTTTGGCATTCCATGGGGTTATTGTGAACCAAGTACAGGACCCAGCAGGACTTGACCTTGTTTTGCTCCATAGGAAAAACCAGCCTGCTTCATCTTTGCTCAAAAATCACCATAAATTACTTCTAACTATTTTAGTTAGATCAGCTTGGCTGAGGAAACTCTGAAAAGCACTTAGATGTCTGGCAGCAGGAATCAGCTTGCCAGCAAGCCCTCCCTGCCAGCGAGCCCATGCTGCAGACATGCCCACGAGGAACACAAGAAGAGGAGGAGGAAGCATTCATTGCAACACTCAGTAAAGGCATGGAGAAACACGGGGTGTGTTTCAGAGATGGTGCCTCCTTGTCCCTGACCATAGAGCCACCGCACCAGCCTTCAGTGCAAGGGATTCTCCACGGAGCCCCTGCAGTTTGTCTGGTGTCATCAGGCTGATGAAGGGCTCTGCAATACAGATAGAGACCCACAATACAGGAATGCCTGCTTATAACCATGTATCGATATGCACAGTCGAGATAAACTGTAACTTTCTGACCCTTTGCACTCCCTCCATGAAAGGCCAAGCCACCACGGGCCCTTTTTTTTTTGGTAGCTCTGGTGGTCAAAGATGATTGTGGGAGCATATTTTGGCATGTTCATGGCAGATTTTAGTATTTATACTCTCCTTCTCTCCTGCCCATTTACTCAAACAGGAGCGGACTGTGATGTTGTCCTGTACAGCTCGGCCTGCTAGCACTGTGTGAAGGAGGAAAGCACTTTCACAGCTGCTTTGTATGTGAGTCAGTGATAGAACCAAAATTAGAAGTGTAGCTCTGTCCAGACTAGATCTCAGTCCATTTCCTGTGTTTCAGAGGCAAAAGTGATGAAAAAGATAAAATAACATGTAATTTAAAAAATAAAATAAAATCACATGAATTGATAATTGTAAATATCTGGTAATTCATTCTATTTCCCTTATTGCTGGTAGAAAGTTAGCCAAAAATTAATAATCTCTTAGAATAATTGTTTTGTGTGAGTCCTACAGTGCAATTTCATGACAGATAGTGGAAATGTTTGGGATTTGTGTAAGAAAAATTTCAGTTGTCTTACAGCATCTGCAACTTAGGTCTAACCTGGCACATACACAACTCCAATGTACATTTCTATCAGGTGCCCTGGCCATGGACGGCCCTTGGCATAGCCTTGCACAACCCTGATGACTCTGTTAATTTAAACAGAGTTGCACCAATGCAAAGCAAGGTAATGTTGTACTTTATATTATGAAGATTATTTGGTGTCTCCAGCAAACAACTCACACTCTCCTAGTTTGAAGTATGAATCACTGGATTACCCATGAGATTTAAAAGTACCTTTAATGTATAAGCTTCTGAAAAAACTCCTAAAGACTGACTATTACTGAAAAGCTTTTGTTGAAGTCTTAAAATACCTTAAATGATGCTGACTATCCACATGACAGTGAATTTGCTTTTCTAAAAATAGTCTGTTTGGAGAATTATAAAATTCTATAAGCATCCTGTTGGCTATCTCTCTGCCTACTGCCCTGCCCATCCCCAGGTCATTAAAGCCTCTGGTTTTTGGTGCACATGCATATTTGATGTATACACCTTCTCAGAAAAGTAATCCAGCCTGAATTCTCAGCTATGATGGGTCCCCAGGGTCTCTCTCCTTGCTTTCAGCCTCCTTGTGCAGAGCAGAGCATCTCACTGTATGTTGTTTTGGCTCACTGGTATCTGCAAGCACCACACAACCAAAATCAGTTCATGAACGTACCCACACGGTCTGGCTGCATTAGTGCTGTCCCTGATAAATGAGGAAACAAGGCCAGCCCATCCCTTGTCATCCCTCTCAAGTCGATGGTGTTTCCTTGGAAATGAATCCCGTGCATGTCATAGTGACTGCCCAGCCCAATGAGGTGCCAGGAGACCTTGTCATTCTTGCACATGGTCAGACCTGGCAGATTGCCATACAAGTAGCCATTGACAGCTGGAGAAGAAGGAAAAAATCCTGGTTAGCAGCAGGGCCACAGGAATGCATCACAGAGCCTCCTACCACCCACCTGGCCAAAGACTCACGACTCAGCAAGTCACTAAAGGGGCATTTTGTGAAGCAAAAGTAGGATTGGAGGACACCAAATTAACATCTAAGTGCTATTCCTATAAACACAGAATTTCTGCCTCTTTGGTTTTAGCCTGTAAAATCTTGTAATAGCTCTCTGCTATTGTCATGTAGCTCCTCTGAGCTTTTGAGTGTTCCTCCCAGACAGCAGCCAAGTGTACAAATTTGGTATCTCCTTTCAGCCTGGAGAATGTATAACCACATCATTAAGGCTGTGGAGAGAGCCATAAAGAGTCTGAGTTACAAGGGTGTTATAAGGCAAAACTCCCTAATCCTCAAATGTTCTCTGTGATCAATGTCTGAAAGATGCTATAAAAGAACAAACCTTCAGTATGAGATCCATCTCATAAAAGAAGAATAAAATAGACAGGTCCAGAAAGCCCCAGAGTTCTCTAACAATATATATCTAAAGTAAAGGTAGATTATGTGATTTGCTCAAGTCTGTCATCCCAGGGTGGAGATCCATGCTGAAGTCTGATACTTGCATCCAGAAATGATGTTGTGAAACATTTCTGGCCATTCCCCTAGTCTTTGGGTCTCCTGTTCCAGACGTGGTCACTGCCCAAATGGGAGACAGCAGAGCAGAGCAGGTAGATTTTACTGCATCAGTCAGTGCCAAGGCCAGCAGTGAAATTTAAAACATTAGTGAACATTGGCTTCTTCTGCACCTGTCTCTGGCATTGTGCCTTTTTACAGAACTAAGTATTGCATCTCAAACCACTGCTCTGTTCCCTTTTTCCAGATGTAGCTGGTAGATGGATGCACTCATTGCTGCAGTGACTGGGGTTTCAGCATGCACTCCAAGGGCATCAGGAGCTGGCCATAAGCCCACTGACAGCTTTCCAGCTCACTCTCCAGTGCAGTGCAGAAAGCTATGAATGATGATAAAACCTGCCAATTCATCTTCCTAATATGATTGAATAAAAGATGTCATTAGCAGATATTAGATATTTGTACCATGCATTTTGTTGGATTCCATGAAATCAGCATCAGTTTCATCCACTTTTGAAGGGTCTCCAGTAAATGCTTCAATATTCTTGTTCAGATACCAGCTGTCATTCTCATCAAAGATTGAAAAGAGGAGGTAAAATTCCCTGTCTATTCCTTTCTGTTGACAAGAAGGAAGACAAGACATTAAAAAAAAAAAAAAAAAAAAAAAGGCTACTCAATAAAAATGAATAGGTTTTTATAACAAAGCTTTCTTTTCCCTGAAGCCACCTTATTACTAAGTCTGCATAGAGACAGGAATTGGCACCTTTTTGTCAGCCAGAAGGATGAATAAAGTGTCCATTGTGTGGTGTGAAAAGAGTTATTATTTGCATGCAAAAGACAGAAAAGCTAGGGAAGAACCAGGGTATTAGGGAATGGTGATTTTGTCTTCTTAACCATCTCCTTAGATTAACTTTTACCCTGAGGAGTGACATTTGTTTAATCTCTGTAAGCTGAGTTGGGAACTGGGCAAATTGCCTGTATGGGAACCCCCAGTGCACCACCCTGCTCTCAGGGACAAGCAGATATTCCCGTTGGGCACCTGTGTCCCGTCATGATTCAGGGTGTTCTTCCGACAGACCAGCAAAGGTCCCACGAGGCCAGAGTTGGTGTCCTTGACAGCATCGGTGGCTGAGTAGTACAGGTAGGTCAGGCACGGGGGGTCACTCTCTGTTGGACCTCCATTTTCAGGCACCCTCCATTTGTAGGTGAAGGTTTCACCTGGCTTGACGTGGGCTCCTGGCTTCAGGTAGCCTGTAGAGACAAAGTTGAGATGCACCAAGATTACAGGAAGGCTTCCTGACTACGAGAGTTAGATGGAAGTCAGGCATAGCTACAGATTTCTGCAGAGAAGCTCCCCCTTGCCACCACAGCTCGAGCACCATTCCACAGTTTGGGCAGCTGTGCCATGAGATCATCTCACCCGAGTCCCGTGCCATGGGACAGTCAAGCCAATTCCCCGCAGAACAAGTTTAGCTGCTCCACTCAGACACCTTCCGACGCTACGTTGGATTATCTGGATTCAATCAGACAAGACACGCAGAGCTCATCCTGGTGCTTAAATGGCTTCCTCTAATGTTTGTAACTTACGTGCCGTGTCATGGAATTCATCTGTGGCACAAACTCAGACTCTGCTTCTCATTAAGTGCCAACAAATCAATTACATTAGTGAGCAGAGCTGGAGCTGTGGCTCTTTAGAAATTCAAAACAAATCTGATCCTGGTAATTGTTTCTTTTTGATTCTGTAGCAATGCACAGGAGCCTTTGTCAGCACCTCCAGAGAGTGGATGACATTGTTCTTTGTTGGAGGTTACTTTTAAAGGATTTGGGCCATTGTCTGCTGCTATGTAAAGGGTGGATTTAGATTGTCTTCTACAGTTAAGCATCCATTGCCTATATTTTCTCAGCACACTCAGTCTCTAGTACTCCAAAAAAATCTTAGAAACTTAGACACAAGTGAAAATAGCAGTATTACATCTGAGAACAGCTATTTGCTGCAAACTGCAATAGAAAACAGACTATAGCTTCCACAGTATCCAAAACTACTGGATTCATCCTGCAACAGTCCTCAATGAGGCAAACTCATTTTGACTTGGAATCAGAAGCCCACTGAGACTGACAAGTGCCAAATGCAACATGCAAAGGTATTTCCTGGGAGCACTGAAAAAACCCCAAACATATATCTGCAGATATCTCTAGATGTATTTTTATTTACAGTATTTTCATGTGAGTAATCTGCACTTAAGACAATGCACAACCTCTGAAAAATTATTTACCCTCAGCATAAACCTACAGGCTCTGCATGTATACCTACAGGATTTCTGCATGTATATACCTGTAGATAGATGGAATGGAAATCCATGGCACAAGAGTTAAAAGGAGAGAAGAAGGGGCAGACAGATTATTGATTAATCTGGAGTCAGGTTTCTCTCTAAAGACCCAGAGGTGTGCCAGCTCACGTGGCTGCTGAATTGTAGGTTTTGGGTTGATTTTGCTACACACTGAAGTGTGGAGTGCTGAAGGGCACAATTACCAGGGATTGTTAAATGAAAGCACAGCAGCTCTGCAAGCCATTGGAGAGCTATCTCTGACATGGGTGGCACTAGGATCTGTGCAGATAACTTCAAGGCTGAACTTTAACCAGTTGTTTTTTTATGTTTTGCCTCCTGGCAAATTTGTTGAGTTACAAGGTTGGGAACAAGAGACAACAATTTCATAAAGCCTTTTGCATTGATCTTATTGTATGATGAGTTTTACATGTTGACCTAATTCTGTCTCAGCACAATTTTCAAAAGAGGGATTATGTCCTATGAGTTTCTTTTGATGCGTTGTAGTGGAAAACAAAGCAATTTAGGCAACAAGAAAACTACATTCCTTTTCAGTGCTGAAAATGCACTTTTTCAGAGACCACAGCATTATCTCTGCAGATGCTATGAATGGGATTCATCTCACCCTAACTGGGCCATCTCAAGCTTAGTCCCTAACTCGAACTCTAGACTTTGGTTGGTGGAGAGAGAATCACATCTCCAGAGGGCCTTCTTGTCACTGACTGTAAAAGGTGCCTACCAATTAACATGATATTTAACATTCAGTAGTTATACTTAGATGATAAGACTGTGTTCTTGAAAAAAATGAGAGGAAGAATTTAATAAATGCTCCATTTCAGCATTTATGTATTTATGAGAATTAATAAGGATTATCACTGCCGTGTGATATCACTGCTGTGTTCCAGGGAAATCAGATAAAAGCTGCCTTTGAAAGTGACTATCCTTTGAAAGTGACAGTAAAGCAAGGGCAATGTCCAGCCTGGATTAGAGAATTGGGAGCGATGCAGCTGAGAACATGTAGATAGCTGTAGCCAAAGACTCAGCCGGGCCATCATTCCAGATCCTAAGAGTTATAATTCTGGAGCATGTGCAGAGGTCATCCACTCCTTGAAATGGAGCAATATTAGATTTGAACCAAGACAAACTGGATTGTGCTTGTGACTTTTGTTCAACATAGGCCTCAGCTAGTTTTAGATATCTTATCTGGCACATATCCAAGGAGAAGAACCATCACATTTGCAGACTGCAGAGTCCCATCAGTTGTGACATGAAGGGTAGATGCAAACTAACCAAATCCTCCTTTCTGTGCCTTAGCATCCACAAAAGGGCAAACCTGCAGAGCTCAGCAGCAGATTTTTGGACTCAAGTATTCTAGAGATGAAGATCCAGTAGTGCAGCCAAAACTTACCATCTAAGTAGGGAGCACCTTCTGACAGCTTGCTGAAGCTTACACCATGGGCCATAATGCTATAGCTTCTTCTGGCTTTGTTGGCAAAAGTAACCAGCACTGTATCTCCCACTTCAGCTTTTATAACGGGGCCTTAAAAAACAGAGTGAGGGAAGGTATTAGAAGGACAGCTCTCCAGCACATTTCCACCAAAAGAAGAGAGAGCTGCATGCACTAAATTTCCCTCTCAGTCCAGATGGTTCTACATTCAAACCTGATGTTATGACAGGAGGGGAAAATATTCACTGTACCAAGTATTCCCAGGTGCTTCATGTCCTCTGACCAGGTCTTCTTAGTGAATGTTGCATCAGTATATCCCACATAGTGAACTTTCCAGTATTGCCCTCCTATTCTGTCAGTCCCTTGTGTGAAATATGTTGCAGATTCACTGTGGAATTAGCAAATTGGACTGGTTAAATAACTGAAGGTTTAAGCAGAGCCCTTCATTTCAGATAAAGTTATTACTCCAGACACAGGATAAATGACCCCCCAAGTTACTAATCTCCATACACTTTCCTGGCACATGAAGAAATATATTACTGGTTTGAATTAGCCAACAAATGAGCATTAATTGTACATTAGACTTTTATGTTATACCCTGATTTACTTAGGGAGACATCTATATCAACTTACCTTAGGGTAAGAATTGTGCACAATGTGTGTCTAATCATTGTTGGCTTTTCTGGGAGACACTATAATGCAATTTGTCTCAATCAGTAATATCAGGGGGGGAAATTCTGCCACTGTGGCACCTCTGGACTGCACTGATTGTAAGTGTGAAAGCTTCCTGAAGAGTCTCGATGAAGGGTCATTAACTGTGTTGAACTTGGCGTGCCTCACTTTCCCCATGGATTTAATTGAGTAAGATAAGTGCTTCCAGAAGGCACCTTGAAGCATCGCAGTTATGCATCTAGCTTCCTGACAAGGCTGTTTAAATCCATTCCTCCCTGCCCCTTCCAATTAAAATTAATGACAGCACAGGACCTAGCCCATGTGAATCACTGGGGCAGTGTCAGACTCCTGAAATTAAAGCACAATGGGAGTTGACAAGAAATCTTACCTGCCAGTGGCGTTCAAACCCTGCCCAGTGAATTTATCATAACCGTCAGGTCCATAATTCCAGAGCACTTCTTCAGCAGCAATGTAATATCTTCTCTTATGACTGATTGGTGAAGAATGAGACAGGTTTTTCTGGCAGATCTGAACATCATATAGAGCCTCCATGCCACCTGGGAGAAGAAAGAGTCTGGAGAAGTCCCTGACCACCTGCAGATTCAGCACTCTCATGGATACAAATGCACATTCAAACTTCTCTGGGAGCTACATGGATTGGAAGCAATTACTACAGTAAATTTCTATTTCAGAATACATTCTCTGCCTACAATGGGCCAGGTACTAACACCCTTCCTTTGCAAGGTGAATTTATGCAATTTAAAAAAAAAGGTGACTTTATGCAATAGGTGAAACACATAAACATCAATGACACTCTTTAGTGGACTTATTTACTCAATTTCTTAATCTGCATAAGGATGGTAGAATGATTTTGGAGGTCAGAGTGCCTCCAGATATCTGCCAAATAGCATAATCTCCCCCTGGCTTCCACTGAAATACAGACTGGTTATTTCTGCTGAAGCTATTTGTTGCTTGCCAGAATTGAGTCTGTTTTGCCTGATGTAAGCCCCACTGGAATCAATGTGTAAAAATTCTCCCAACTCGTCTCTGCTATGATAATTACACACTGCCTGCTGCCATGACACCTAGTTTATGATACATGCTTTTGGGGTCTTGCGCCACACAAATATCACAACACCACCATCAAAGTCCTTCACATAATGGTTTCTGAAAACACTGCCAAGTTTTGCCTGATTTCCATAAAGCAAAAAGCTATTAAGTGTTCAGCTGGCACGATTTTTTTTATGTGTAAGTACTTCTCTACAACAAAAAAACAGTGTTGAAAATTGGTGTTGAAAACTCCTCTCGTTGCTCATCAAAATCTCAGGTTTACCTAGGAATCGTAGTGACAGTGCTGGGTCTAGCAAGTCTTCCTCACATGAGTTACATGGCCAAGTCATTTATACTAGCTGAAGATTTGGCCCAACACGTATAATTTCTGGTGACTAAACTCATGACCATGATGTTTATCTGGTGAAAGAGTTGCAAATTGTTCCAAAGTCACACAAAAAAGTGTCAAATCCTGCTTCCCCTGGAAACATCTCCCAGTTTTCTCTTCCAAACATAACAGAGGCTGATGAGGGAGGTCTCATGGCAGCGTACCTCGGAGGTGCTCATTGACCTGGCATGTTATCAGCCACCTCCCGGGGCTGCCAGGAGTCATCTCCGCCGTGATGAATGTCGCTGGGAAGAGACCGACCACATCTGCTCTCTGGTCTCTGCTGGTGAACGTGTGGCCGTAGAAATAAGCAGCGTGGATGTCTATCTCACTTCCCATGCCAAACAAGTGCCAGGACATGGAAGTGTCAGCACACATCTCCAAGCCGGGGAGATTGCCATATATGTAACCGTTAATAGCTAAAAACAAAAGGATGAGACTTTATGAGAGGTGAAAGAAAAGTGCCTCTGGCCCATTTCTAAGGAGTAGCATTTTGAACATATATCTTACTGTTCGGTATGATCAAATGTCCCCAGTTCTCTCTCTGTGTCTGTGAAAAACATCCTGGGTAATATCAAGATGTTGCAAAGGCCAAGTCATCACCATAAAGGCCTGATAATGAAGTTAACTTGTTCTGCAGCTATTTAGCATGGCTGAAATCTATTTCCTCTTGTCCTACGTCATAAATATACCATTATATGCCAGGTTCAAGCAATTTAGGTTTGAAAATTTTATCAGTCAAATCACTGAAGTCAGCTCTGTCTTCCTTAGCTTCTACATCTGATAATGTATCAAGATGCTAGGAGAATGAGACTCATATTTTGCAAAATATTTTATTTCCTAGGCTCCCTGTAACAAACAAAATATACAGAAATATCTGGAATCGACTGCTTACACAAAATGTCCAATTAACACAAAGTACCTTTGGCCAATATATCTCTGAAGGGCAGGAGTGGTTATGCCAGCCAGCCCACCATCCACAAGCCTTTTGAGAATTCTTTCAATACACACACCTCAAAGTGCTCTGCAGCTTTCTTTGCTCGTTTCACAGCTGGACAAAAATCTGTTGCCTAAGATAAAATGCTAAACAAATGTCAGAGCTGGGCATGAAAGCCAAATCTCCTTTCTGCAAGTGTCATGCTGTTTCTAGGGAGAGGTTTTTATCAACACAGTACTTCAACATTCTGACCCATTCCTTGCTGACACAGATAAAGGAGAGACATCACAGGGGACAGAAAGTCCTACTGAATTGAAAAGAGCCTGGTCACTGCTGTAGGCCACCATTTACTCAAAAGTCCTTCTCACCATGCATTCGGTTGCTGGTCTGGAAACCTTCATCCTCTTTGTCAACTGTGTCTGGTTCTAAGCAGAAGGTGTTTATATTCTCATCGAGGTACCAGCTGAAGTTTTCATCTACAATGCTAAACATCAGGGCAAAAGCATTAGCAGCACCAGTCCCTTCTATTGTGGTCTCATCAGCAGTTCCTAAATTGCAAACGAAAAGGAAAGCGATAAAAAAAGCCTGGGACAGGATTGAATTTAAAAATGACAATAACCTTGGCACACTTGAGGAAATACAGTTCTTTGCCCACAGTCTGCAGGGCAGGATTAATTTCACCTAATTTTGCTCTTCTAAGGCATTTTGACCCCCCTCCAACAGAATTTGAACAGATGAGTGCCTCCAGAAGGCAAAGCTAAGCTAAGTTAAGTTGATATTTCAGTATCTCTTTGGTCTGACATGAGCATAAGCACCTGTCAATATCTGTTGTCCCATTTCCCCACTCTTTGGCCCATCGCATCCAACCCTGTCCCTTAGTCAGTGTCAGTGAGCATCTGTGTTCTTGCACAGTGAGCCAGGTCATGAGCTGGATCTATCCAGAAACCAGTGATACATGGTTTTTTTTGACAAGGAATGAAGGAGTGATGAGTGGTAGCCTGTATTTCTGTTGCACTGAATACTGAACCACACCCCCAGAGTGGCCCTCTAAATGTGGCTCATTCTTCACAGACTGACAAGGAATCCATGAGAGTTATCCAGGACTAGATAGTTAAATTTTAAAAGGCTGAAGACAGCATGAACAAAATTTATTCCAGCTAAGTTCAACATCTTTATCCTTGTATCTATTTTGGGGAGCAACCTGAGACCATAGGACTGGTGATACTGAGTAGTCTGTTATTATCCACTGCCAGGTGTAGATTTCATTCCAATCAATCCATCTCTGATCCCATGAAAACTTTTCCTTCCTCTGCCTTCTCGGAGGGAAGCTCAGAGTCTTGCTCTCAGTCCTGTGTCCACCACCACCAGCTGGAGGACTACATCATGTAGATATCCAACTTCATGAATTCAAGGCCAAACATGGAGATAATCTGGCCTTTCAGGCTAGGATTGTTTGGAATATGCTGTCTCCTAGCTTCATGTGTTATCTTGTAGTTATCAGCTCAGTGTTACATATTCAGTTCTGTGGATTTCAAAGGCTCTCAAGGAGAATATAAGTCTGAGACATTTTAATTGTGTGAGTTAAGCTGGAAACCAGGCCTGTATTTTCCACATTAAAGTCTTTTTCTTCTTCATATATAGAACCTACTTCACTTAGAAGTACTGCATATGAAATCAGGGCTGATTTTGTACTCTGGGAGTTACTGAAAAGAGGTGGCAGAGTTACATGTGCCCAGGGGAAGAATTGGCAATGACTCAGCTGATGAAGAGGAGAGGGCTGGTTCGTGATGGCTCCAGCACAACATTAGGTGGCTATAAAATACACAGGAAGGCTGTTCTATGCACATCCCCATAAGGTTGTGAGATATAAATTGTAAACAAAAGTAAATACATACTCTCTATGTGGAAAAAATTACAAAAGATTATGCTTTTGAATATGTAAATGCTAATGCCAAATTCACCCACCCAGCTCTAATTTGATTTCGTGAGCAGTAAGTCCTTTGCTCATCCTCAAACTTCCCCAGTTTGGGAATACTAAATTTTGGTCTCTGCCACGACGGGATGGTCACAGAGCATGCTGCAGTCCCTCCACCAGCCGAGGCAAATCTATCCTGAAGCCAAAGGGGAGCAGGAAGGGGGTTGTCCCAGAGCTACAATACCTACCCTGGGATGCTCCTGGAATGGCCCATCTATTCCTTGCCCCTTTTTATGGGCTATGTAGGGATAGACTCTAGACCATCATGTTTAAACCTGTAAGCAAAAATGACTGTTAAGATGCCAAGCTTGGCAGAGGGGCTTGCTCTATCAGTGTTTCTAGCTCAGTACCTTTTTTACACACCAGCAGAGGCCCAATTAAACCAGATGCAATATCTCTTGGTGTGTCAATGTGAGAATGGTAAATCCAAGTCAAGCAGTTTGAGTCTGCCAAAGTTGGGGAATAATCTTTCCTTACTGGCCATGTGTATGTGTAATTTCCACCGGGAACAACAAAGTCGTCCTCTTTGCTTTTACCGCCAGTTCCATCAGGGTAAAGTGCTCCTAATACATAAAAAGGAAAAAGGAAGACTTTAGCCATCCCCTAGTCGCTTTTGTTAAATAAATGTGTAATTTATTCTATTTTAACTAGTATTTATAAAATAATAGCAGCATTCACAAATACACAATCATTGAGAAATTTTGAAAAAACTCAGAATTTCTGTCAATCTCACCACGAATATATTGGGAGTTAAAATCCATTTTTTATTGGTAGATAAACCTTTAAAAATGCATTAACAGGCTCCATTTCTTCCTAGTCTCTTCACTCTTATCAGTCCTCTAGAATTTTGTCATCTAACAGTGTGTATTTTTTCACAGGAAATACTGACTGTAGGCACATCCACGTAATCCTCTAACAAAAATACACATGCATAGGTCTGGGATTCTGAAAATTAGATCATGTCTGTTATAGGCTAAAAGAGAGGAAAACATTTAGTTGCAAGAACTCCATCTATTCAAATAGACTAGAGGCAGAAGGAAGGAGGGGAGAGGTTTTGGTGAGTTATGATTCAGAAAAATAATTCAGGCAAAAAGACCCATCTAACCTGTTTCAGTACTGGGTTTATCCCAGGTGTCGAAAGTTTGTGGCAAAAAGTTTTGAGATGCGGCTGTTCCTGGTTTTAGTCATCAGCTGCAATTACTGATGAGCTTATGAGAGGGTGATCTAAAGTCCTCTGATGTCAATGTCAATAACAATAAATACTGGGACAGACTTGTAGCCACGATATTTGTTACTCCAGGGAAAAAGAGAGGAAAAGGCAAGCCAGATTTTACCTTCAGAGTCCTTGTCATAGAAGACCCCATGTGGGTGCACAGAGTATGGGCGGGAAGCAAAGTTTTTCAGATGGATGATAAAGACATCCTCTTCTTCTGCCTTCAGGACTGGGCCAAGGAAGCCCAGCCATGCTGCTTTGGGGATCTCCTGGGAGTAAGTGTCATCTGTGAATTGCCTAAAAATAGCTTTTTTGTACACACGTCCTATCCGGTTGGCTCCTCTTGTTGCATACACGCTTGCAAACCTGGTGTCGGGAAGGGAAAATTTGAGACAGCAAACCTATCTTAAGAACTGATCAAACAATTGGTGCTTGCAGTGCAGATAAATATTTCCCTGGGACACATCTCATGGCTGTTGGAATTGAATTAAAGCCCAGGAGTACATCAGGACAGGCCTGGCAGGGCCCAAGCCCCTTTCTGTACAGTAACAACCATCCCACTTGCAGGTCTGGTCTTTAGCACAGCTTCTCCAAGCCTTCATTCAGAACCAGCCACTCAAGCCTCAAGCTGCTCAATTTTAACAGCTTCTCCCTCTTTTGAAGGTTTGAAACCTCACCTCTGAAAGCATGACTGTTCAGAAGGAAAATAAAACCAAATTAAGATTTTTTTCAAAAGCCAGTAAGAGAGATTCTAATCAACCAGCTTGACTCCCTGGAAGAGTAGAATTAAATGTGTTTTGCATGAAATGTATAGCTTCCACATTCCAGAGTCTATGTTTATAGCAACTTCAAGTGATGGGCAACCCACCATATGGTCAGTGGTTAACATATTATAACTTTTAAATACCTGCTCCTTTCGAAGCCTAAATTGCATTTGCAGTCTAATATCACCCAGCTCCACATTCCTACCACTGGTTCCAGGCAAGTTCTCTCTCAGATCAAAAGAGCCACATACCATCAGAAACTTCTTTTTTATGCAGACACTTGCATAAGTTTTAATTAATTGACTAAATTGCCTCCTACCCTTCTTCTGGACAAACCAAGCACACTGACACTCCTTAGGCGACAAATCTTATGCAAAGCTCTCTTTTGAAAGCAAATATTTCTCTATCTCTGAATAGAGAAGTCTGAACAAAAGAACTCACACAATAGACAAGTAGTATTCCAGCTAGGGTCAGAGATGCTCCCAGTCAATATTTCTTACATATCTGGGAATGAATTCTGCCCTTTTAACTATAACATCATACTGATGACCCAGTTCATCCTATCTGTGATGACATAAAATCCATTTTTTAATTTTCTCCATGTTACAGCTGGTAAATATGATAGACAATCTTCATCCCTAATTATAACACTCAATGAATGCAGAAATTAGACCCTTTGCTACACAGCAAGCAGGAGGTTGTATGACCAATTTCACCATAATTGACCATGAGCTTTTTTATCCCCTGAAGATTGATTGAACTTTCATGTTTCCTAAAAAACTCATCAAAAAGTTGAACTAAATTTTCCTGAAGTATCACTGGCAGAAATAAAGCAATTTCCTATTTATTATGAGACTTTGACTGGTCAGTTCACTTGCTTCACCAATTTTGTTTAGATTCTTTTGTGAAGTGCAAGCAACCAAAGTGGAGGATGTCACATAAGTTGAAAGGCATGATTTGCTTTAAGCTCTTCACCACAACATCCACTTCTCCCTCTACCCAAACCTTTCTATGATTCTGTGATTTCTATGACACCATAACACACAACATCCCCCACTTGTGGTCATTACACCTCCACAATCACTGCTCAAAAAAAACCAGACCCCTGAAATGATCCAGCTATAAAAGCCTCAAAAAGTATACTTTTTCATTTGAAATGTGCACTTTATAAGAAACCACAAGTTTTGGCAGCAATTAAAACATTGCCAGTATTGCTGGGGCAGAAACAGTGGGATAGGATGGGCGGGAAGGGACAGAAGCTTCTCATTCTGCTTCTTTGCAGAATAATGTATGCCAAATAAATACACCCCAAAAACAGGGTTAAGGAGTTGCCAGGAAATTTGAATTTTCAGTGAAATAGCATGTCTGTAGTCTGTGGACATAGCAAGATCTGGCAAGTCACACCACATTAACCAAGGAGAAGATACCTTCTATTGCCTGGGGGAAGAGCTGCGAGTAGGAGGTGGTGTCAGTAGGAGTGCAGTGTAAATGCACATGCTTCCTTACCTCATGGCAATGTATTCACATGGCTATGTCCTAATTCGAATTATGAATTGATTTTTTAAATTGTTTATAGGAAATTTTCTCTAGAAAAATATCAAATCCATTTTTTCAGAAAGTCCCTCTTTTCGGGAGATATTTTTCATCTTTTTTTTTCCAATTTCACCAGCCACCAAATATTTTTGTTCAGTGGCACCATGCTTTCATCATGATGACAGTGTCTTTATGTCCAGACAACACTGCACATTCTCTCATAACACCCCTGCGATACACTGTCTCTTCTGAAGGAAGGAGAATTGTACCCCAGAACAATGTACTTAGTCAGGATTTGTTAAATGTATCACATGAGCCTAGCCCCTTTTAATGCATAGATTGTGATCCCAAAATCCATTTAGTTATCAAAGTTCAAGAAATTACCGTGAGAAAACCCTCTAGGCTTAAGCACTGAGAAAGTTTCTGTGCGTAAAGCTATGCTATAATATCTGGATCTGCATTTGCCTCCCGCTTAAAGCCATCTAGAAGTCAGGAAAAGAAGTCTTTCAGCGGCAGTTTTCTGAAAGGAGGACTATTCAAATGGGTGCAGTGGGTATCAGCTGCAGCCAGTCACAGTGTAAGTGATGCTCTGTGTGTACAGAGATGTATTTTCAGCACATCCTTTTGGTTGCCTCAGTACCTGCAAACAGAACATTTAGGCTATTCTGAGTCCCATTCTAGGTGCCCAGGCTGTCCCATTTCTTCCAGGAGATTTTGGGGGCCCATCTCAGCCTTGCCAAGTAGCTGGTAGCTCTGTGCCTCTTTACAAGTGTTGCTGTGCTTCACATTACAGTGCTTAAAATCCTTTTGCAGAAGGAATACCCACATTGGACCTAATGCCAAAATGTTTCCTATCTGTCATTCCTCTCTTGTCTCAAGAAAACAAAGCTTCTCCCTGACTCTTCATATTCTGCTGCTCACTTCAAACTGCTTCATCCTCCTGGTGGTTTTGTGATGCTTCTGTCTGAACCTCTTCCATCTTTCTGATCTTCTGCAGATGTAAGAGCTGCTCCTCTAAATTTTAACTATTTCCCTCCAACTCCGTTGTCAGCCTGCACTTCATGTGCATAAAGTCATGATGCTCAGACAGCTTTTCTTCCCACAGTAAAGGGAAGAATCCTCTGCGGCAGTACCCATGCAAACTTCCTAAATTCTTTTTCATCTCCTGCAGTCAGGCCAGTCTTGAGGTTACATATAGAGATAAGTCTTGAGGTTACATATAGAGATAAGCTTGAGGTTACATATAGAGATAAGTTTGCAAATTGGTGTAAAAAGTCTTGTTCCAGCTGAGAAAGACATGCAAATCCTGACTTCATTTCTGTGTCTGATTTCATTTTGGTGCTTGATCCCTCTCAGCACTTCCAAAGCTCCAAGAAAAGTTGGAAATGCATCTGAGTGGAACAGTGAGTTATTAACAGGGAATAAATTCTAGTCTTTTAAAAGAAGTGTAAGCATAATTATAGACATCCAGTTCCCTGCAATGACAAGCAATACAACTCTTCCTCAGAGAAAAAGAGTAAAACACGAGTGTCACATAGATTCTACTTCAGATCAAGACTAGACATGCTGACAATCTGCCATTTCCAGGAAGATCCATGTGTGAAGTGCAATTTCTACACCCATTTCTTTTATCACACAGAAGACATGTTTTGCCATAACTTTTCTTGCCATAATTTTTTTTTTGCCATAATTTTTTTTACTGGGTTTGTGTTAGCTTTGATCTGAAGGCTACAACCTAACAGAGGTTATGTTTTCCCAGAGGTACTTACATGAGCACTGTGTTACAGTGAGTAGTAAGAAATGGGAAGACACCTTGTGCATGGCCAAGCAAACAGCTCTTCAGTAGCCTGGAGACAGATCCTCACAGATACAGTTTCAAAGCCTCCTGAGTTTGTTTGCTGCTGTAATCACCACTGAGTGCCAAAAAACAGCACTCAGGATAACTACTAGATGTGGAGTCCCAAATTTTCTCCTGTGGCGAACATTCCCATAGCTACTGTACACTCCAGGGTGTAAATGCACACAAATGCAAAATTCCTTTTTACTGTCATTGTTCCATTAAAGTCCCATAGACTTTACACTCATAACCATTTAAACAACCACTTTTATGGGTTTATTTTCTAAAATCTGTACATAGTGAAACCTTCCTTACTCTCCATCCTCTTTATATACTCTGTGTTTGGGTTTATAACCATTTTATTTCCTCAAAGTTCCTGATTTTTCCTGTGGCTGAAGTAACCCAGGAGAGTGCCAGGACAGGGCTCCAGACCACCACAGTTGTTTTAACCCTTGGATCATGTAACCTGTTCCAGGTAACCCTCCAAGAAATCTCCATGACTCCCAGGCCAGTGCAATGTCTGTGCTTGAGGGATGGCCAGGGAAGGGGGACCAGTGGTGCCAACTCACCTTTCTAAATGGCATCCTGACCACAAAGCGTCCAACAACAAAGTTGAGTGTCCTCAAAAGACAGAGACACAAACCCTCAAAGGATGTTTTTAGGCTTTTTCTGACACACCTGAGCCACAGAGGTCAATAAAATCCATGAAATCTTAGAGGAGGCTCTGAGGTGTCACTAGTGTGGTATGATGGCTTCCCTCCTACAATAAACTTGCCCCTGAAGTCAGTAACAAAGCTCCTCTCGGGCTTCATTAGAGCCAGGATTTCACCTCAAATACCCTTTTGATGTTGACCCTTCCCACAATGATCATCTCTGCTGTTGCAATTGGGTTATTTGGCCTCATAATGACTCAGCCATTAGTGTAGCATCGGTGACGACAGTTTCACCGTCATTTCTCTGGGTGGGATCTCCTCACAGGCAAATTGCACAAACTGTGTTTGATGCTGTGCTAACAAAAAACACCCGTTAGTGTTGGTGGGTGCAAGACTTGGCCCAGATAAATAAAGGTAGGATTGGTGACCAAAAGAGAAGGGAAGAGCTGCTCCATCAGGCAAATCTTACTAACATCTACCAGCAGCAGTGCAAGATTTAAGTGTCCATCATATAAACTCGTATCAAGGTAATTTCAAGGGATTATCAACTAAACTTTAATCCTGAGGGCTGAGCTTCAGTGGGGAAAGAATGACTGGCGGATGTCAAACCATGACACCTAGGTATATTTTCCTCTTGAAAGGCCATTTTCCATGTGACCATTAAAGAAAGCAGAAAACATCCAAGCTCACCCTCCTGCAGCAGCAATACCCATGCCCTAACCCACAAAATCTTGCTGGGATCTGCAGCACATCCAGCAGCACTGACAGCACATGCACCCTGTGTGTCTAGTCCAGCATGGTTTAATGATGTCAGCTCTTCCACAAATTATGTCAGGTGGGAAGGGACGCTGACCACTTTCACAGTCGCCTATGATCAGTGGCCATAAACTGGACGTGTGATTTCCAAAGCCCTGTGTGCTCCAGAAAATGTAAGTTTAATTTCTGAAGGGAGAACAGAGAATGAAATGTCTTGGTTTTACTCACAACACTCCAAATTATGAGAATTAGTCGAACAGCTTGAGGCCGCAAGCTTAGACAAGACAAAGGGAAGAGGTGAACAGCCTCATTAGACTTCTTGCTTTACAATTACTGATGTCCAGCAAGATACTTATTCTGTGCAAGCAGCAGGCTGGCTCTGGAGCACTGCAGTAAGACAAGGCATAATAAAAAATGATCATCCATGCAGAATAATTCTGCTAAGACAGGGCTCATTTGGGCTAATCAGCTCTGATGAGAGACAGTCTTTTCAGCTCACACCCAGGCAGGTTCTGATGCAGCACTAGGATTCCTGGCTCCAGAGGCAGCTCACTCAGCACCAGCACAGCAAACTGAGCAGCATAGCCATGTCTGGTGCCAGAATCGGCTCACCTGGTTTCTAGCCCCATGCTTCAGCTACCAAAGCCCCCTTTATCTTCTTTGCTACTAAAAACTAAAGGTTGAGGAAGATGTTATTGACTTTGGCAAGGACCATTGAAAATCATCTCTTAAACGTCACTATCTGATCTAGGTAATGTAACACTTTCCACTGCACACTTGCTAATTCAGGATTTTCATTAAGTACTGAGGAATAAGTGGTTTTGATTATATCTCTGTGGGCTAGCTGGAATCAAAGGGAACATTCCTTTTTGTGTATGCACCAATTCTTTTAAAGATAATCAGCTTGTCTGCAACCTCGTTATCTTCACTTTGCTCTCAATAAAACTGGGATGGTGTCCCATCAGATGGGTGCTGTGAGGATGCTTCACAAGGTGAGAAGTGCTTGGCTCAGCGAGCCTGAGTGTTGCTGCTTGCAGAACAGAGATGGCTCGAAAGGCATTCCTACCCCTACCTGGAAACTGATCCTTAAACTTTGCTTATGGAACTAATTTTTAATAATATCCATAGGAACCAATTAATTAGCTGAAAAGCAGCCCATTATTATACTGCTTTAAATTTACATTAGAGATTATCCTAAAGAGCTGAATAGTCAAAATAGCTTTTTCTGGTTCACTATTTAACCCACATGCTTATGCAGACACTATTATTCCAGAATGTAGCAGTTTATCCTGGCTCAACTCAATACGCTTTAAAAATGGACTAAAATAACAAAAATCACTTAATTATTTTGCATGTAGGGAGTTTGTGGCAAACATCTCCCCAGCTTTGAATGTGTACTCTAGATTAAAATCCTCTGTGGTTAAGCCTTTTGTAATTAGCATTCTGTAATTATTACGTTGCCATGATGACTGAAGACATTAGGTATCTTCCATCCCTGGGTTGCCATTTAGTAAAAAAAAATGCATTTATGTCACAAACTTAAAAGTAAATTTGATGTTGTGCTCCCTTGTTGGTGCCCCTTGATGTTCAGGGAGCACAAAGTGCATACGGCCTCAAAAGTACAATTTACAGGACAGATTCCAATCTTTCTGTGGTATTTCTCTATTGAATACCTCTCCATTGAAGTGGATTTATATGTAGCTTAAGAAATCTTCTAGTTTATTGAGTGGAGAAAGTTATCCTCTGCTACAAAGACTAGGAAAGGGAGAAATTCAGGCATTTAATATAAATGAAGAACAATTTTGCCAGTAAAGCTTGTTTTCATGGGCTGGGAACATACTATTAACCTTAATTCTACCTATGAATGCAATACTTACTGACTTGGATGCTATCTGGGGCCTCTAGCTATTTAAAGCTTAAGCATGAATTTGTGTTGAAAAATAAAACTCTTTCTCATCTCCTTCTTGTGACAAAATAGTTTATTTTATGAAATTCATCTGAGAGTGACTCTGAAATTACTTACCACCAGAGACATGTCCAGACTTGCTTGGGATTTCCTGAAAAGTCAGAGAGTACATTTCCATTTCTAGCTTCTGGGAGGCAGCATCTAGCTCCCAGTGAGCCTCCAAACCTGGTACAGAGACCAGGACCTCCTCACTTCCTCACAGCTCCCACTCCAATCCCAAGCCTAGACACTGAGGAGGGATCCCCAAAATACCTTGTGTGTCAAAAATATCAATGAAATGTTAAAAATATTCCCATACATGGGATTTGAATCCCATGATGTAAGAAGCAATGGTTTTAAACAAAAACAGAGTCAATTCAGATGTAAGAAAAAAAAGTTTTTAACAATGAAGGTGGTAAAACACTGGCACACATTGCCCAGAGAGGTGGTGGAAGCCTCATCCTTGGAAGCACTCAAATTCAGCTCGGACGTGCCTCTGAGCAACCTGACCTAATGGAAGATGACCCTGACCATGGAATGGGAGGTGAACGAGAGGACATTTAAAGGTCCCTTCCAACCCAAATCATTCCTTAGACAGCACCAGGCACTGGAGCCATCTCCATCCAACATCCAGGCAGCTCTCCTGCTCTGGGAGGAACGCACAGCCAGCCCCAGCCATGTGGGCATGAGCACAGACACCTGTTTCACTGGCCAAGGCACAATTCATCACAGCGCTCACCTACACTCCCCAGCTCCAGAGATCATCAGGAATTCTGTCTGACCATTCACTGTTGTGTATCTAAGCACTTATCTATACACATTTCCAAAATGGAAGTCCCCACAGTTGTACAGATTGCATGGATATAGGGACTTGTATCCCATTCGTAGGTACTATACATACCTGAATTTCGTATCTTACCAAGTTTCCCAAATTTTATCAGGGGAAATACTTAAAATTACATAATATTCCAGTAAACAGCGTTTTGTGTTTTACTGCAAAGACTGTGCTTAGTTAATGCTGCAGTTTGCTTTTTGATACCAAGTCCCAGGGATACCTGCATCTCCATGAAATACAGATAGGGGATTTTGAGCCCATACCTGATGTTTTTTTGACAAGTATCAGCTCATTAACATCCTCTTCAAATACGCACTAACTATCCCCTTTCTTAATCAACCACAATGAAAAAGAAATCAAAGTCCACTCTTGCCTTGAAACTGAATTCCCACCTATGACAACATCATCAGAATAAAAACAAGGAAAAAGGCCGTCTTAAGACATTTGCGCCAAAATTACCACATTAACCAATTTTGTTTTGGAGTTGTTGGTACATCTCCAGCTTATTCAAGCCCCCAGTCACTTACTTGTCCTCTAAGAGGCTTTGCCCTGTGATCAGATTTTTCCCAGATGGTGCATAGTCCCAGTTCTCTTCCACAATCCCGAGGTAGTAAGTTCTGGTCTTTGCTTCCACCAGCGCCCACAGCCAGAGGAAGGCCAGGGCGCGGAGGCGGCCACCGCGCTGCGCGGGAGGCATTTGTGGCGGTGACTGGCGTGCGAGGCTGGCACGGGCAGGCAGCAGCAGGATGCACCACAGGGAGCTCACCCCTCCCTCCCTCCCAGCTCTCAACAAGTTATAAATAAGGAAGGGACAGAGCAAAGCTCCTCCTTTCCAGCAGGTTAGGACGGGGATAGGTAGAGAGCCAGGCTATGCAGAGCAGGGAGAAGGGTGCTGTCATGGCAGGACCTTTGCCAATCCTTTGGTTAGTGAGTAAATTACTCACTTACCTGTCCAGGCTAGAGCCAGTTGGTGGTGTTTAGAAGTCTGGATGCTTTTTAGTCCTCCTTTTTCCAGACTAGGTGATATCGCATATTGGGGCAGAGGAGGTCTTAGTGTTTTTGACAGCCTTGTAAAAACCCTGTTTAAAAAAATTTTAACTTCTTGATAATGTCTGAGATTTCTAAAAATAGCATCTTGTTGTCTTCATTTTTTTTTTAAATGACATAACACTAAGGTATAATCTAGCATTATCAAAGATAGAAAAAGAATTGGCCAGTACCTCACATAATTTTGTGATCTATTTAAGACAGCAATTGGTTTGAATATATTCAGTTTTAGAGTGCCCAAAATGAGGTACTTTTTACAAGCATCCCTGAAAATTAGAGCCCTTATAAAAGTCTTTCTATTTGGACACCTAAGAATTGAGGCACACCAAGATCACCCTTTTATTAACCTTGGCAATTAACATGCCCACGTAGCTCTCTAGAAAATCACTCTTTCGCTTTATAGCTTAACTCTTCTAAGAAGATATCTGTGTTACCATCTTGGCAAAGCCCAGAGTAAACATATACTTGATAGGATAGGATAGAATATTTTAAACCACTTAGGAAATGTCTCAAAAATATCATCTAGGTGACAAGACATTTTGCAAAATCATACAGCTCTGTTCCTAATTTTTAAGTGACTACAGGTATAAAAAAAGTTGCAGTTCTGGAATAGAGCTCTTGAGAATCATTGCAAGCTTTAACAGTTGTGAAATTCCCCTTTCAGGTCCAGAACTATATGACCTCTCTTCCTGTGGAAGCTGATGGTTATCCATGACTAGGGATGCAGGAGGCTTCAGAAACGGATTTGGAAGTCACAGGTTTAATGCTGTCCACTGAGATGTAGCTCAGTGATGTGAATGATGTTTTATATGGCAGCCAGGTGAGGTTCACCCTCTGGCAGGTGGCAGTGATGGCTACATCAATGGTCAGCTGTGCTGAGCTCCCCTCTCCTCACTGGTGTGCAGGTGTCTCTGAAGTCACAGAGAACAACTCAAAAAACCAGGTGCTGTTCACATCAGCCTTGCTCCAGCCACCTGGACCTTGATCGGTCTCATCTAAATCAAGAGACAAGGCACACAGACACACGCAGTATCATGCTGAAGAAGCTTTTGGTGCTTTTAGGCTATGCTTTCCACTTCTTCAGCTATGAGGATTGAAAGCCTAGTATGTGTGGGTTAAGGATACAGTCAGGCAAACTGCAAATGGTTAGCTTGACACAGTTATAAAAGCAGGAGTCCCTTGGCCTCCAAAATTCTCCCTGATACATGCTGATGTTCATTTGCTCATATCAGTTAATCAATGAAAAATGGGAAAGAGGGGAGGTGATAGGACAACACAGGTGTTGTGCAACAGAGCAATACAGGTGCTGTACAGAGATCCTGACCCTCAGAGGCAGCACCTACAGTCTTCCTGGACACCTTGCTGATCTCTTCACTCTTCTGCTCCAAAACCACACTGTGTCCAGCCTCTTGTCTTCTCATGTCAATGTGTATCCTCTCTTCCTAAATACTCAAGTCCTCTTCCTTTTCCACTGCTTTATTGTGTCACTTTGTTGCTTGCTCAAATGAGGATGACTAAAAGCACTGTGACTTTAACAGGCGTAATTAGAAAGCAAAAGAAAACACAATGACAGCGGGAGCTGAGCTGAACTTTGCCAGCCCGTGGCACAGCCATCCAGCATGCCCCTGGGGTGGCACAGACGGGCCAGCTGCTGGGCTACAAACCTGTGACAAGGCCAAGGGAGTCACTTGGAAGCTAACAGGATCCCACTGCCATCTTTTCACAGGGCCTAGGAATACTTCCCCTGCCCAGAGGAACTCTCCAGAGCCCAGGGGAGTTACAAACTTCATCACCTGTTACTCAAGCACCTGCATTTACAAGAACTCCTGGCTGTTATGCAAATATTCATTGTCATAGTGTAACAAGCATTTGCATTCGAGTAGGAAATATGTTTATTTATAGGGCACTGTGTGCTTTGAATGAGATTGTGTGGAGTTCAATTGCTTAAATTAGCCATTTGCATGCCATTAGAGATATTTAAGGACTGGGTACATGGCCAATTTAATCTAGACAGTGTTATTATGACTTCCTGTCCGTGTGCTTTTTTGTAACTCAAGAATTCTGTTTTACGTTTAAATCTCTGTATATGTGGACTAATATAATACAAATGCATCAAGCTAATAGGGAATATGAAGGGGGAGTGTCCAATTCTGAGCTGGCATCTGACTGCATTATGGTCATTTAAATAATAATAGTGCTATGTCCTAGTTTTTCTATTGCTTCTCACGCACCTAGGATTGGGTCCTGGCTGCTTTCTTGTTAGAATACCTCTTTAAAATTGAAATATGAAGTTAATTTATTTGTCTATTACTGTAAAATTTACTTGTGTAACAGGAATAATGTGTAGACATTAACACCCTATATCAGCAATGTGTTGTAAGTCTGGTAAACGCCTTAGCTTGGCTTCAGCACTTAGTAGATCTGGCAACTTGTATACCCTTTGCATCCACACATTAACACTTAATTACCTTGTCACATCATTAAACCCAGGCACATTTGCATTCCGGGGAGGTGCTGTGGGCGTGACTCAGAAAAAGATGAAAGAACAGCTGTTTTGTCCTTGCATCAGGAAAATTTCTGGGAAGCTCCCTTCCAGCAGTGAGCTCATGGGATTAAATCTGTCACTTTGTCCAGGATCCTTTCAGCAAAGGGATTGGCTGTTGGTTAATCTGAGGCTTTCTGTCCCTCTGAAGGGTAAAATTAGAGCATGGCTGGGTTTCAAAGTTTTGCAATGAGAAGCAATGTTCATAGGACCGAAGGGTGAACATCTTGAACACCAGTTTGTGAATGAGCCCCGAAGCAAGACCAATAGAGCTTTCTTTTCAAGCAAGTCAGGAATTATTGCAAGAATTAGCTTAAGTTAGTGCACTAAAGCCCAGACTTGAGTTAACTAATGTTAGTGATTAAATTAAAATATTTAAGTTGTGATGGCTGCAAGATCAGTGAAGAGAGATGATGGATGTGCTGACCTTTGTCAGTTCCTTGAAATTAGATCATAGACGAGCACTTTATTCAGGCTTCCTACAACTGAAGCCCAGCTTTGATTCTCCATTGAGCAGATGATGAGCTGATGTTCATGCAGATTGTCTACTCTGTGATTTTCTATTCTGCTTCTTCTTGATAGTAGTGGTTCCCACTTCTAGCTGATCCTTCCTGGTGCCTCTGCTGTGTTGATCTGTGTCACCATTGCAATCCAGGCTGGGGAATTGGTCTCGGTTTCCAGCATAAGATTACCCTCAGCTAGTATTGCCACCAGCCCTGGAGCTGTGCTTGTAGTGACTATCCCAAGGTGACAAAGAGTGTCTGTGATACATCTGGGAACTGAACCCTCCTAAGTTTTGCATCAGCTTTTCAATCAAGACATCCTCTCCTTTCATCAGCTGTCCCATTCTTTCCAGACACAAACAGACATTAAATGTAAAAGTTTCTTTGTATATTACTTAAAACCAGTTTCTATTGCACTTTAAAAAAATTTTCTGAGTTGCAGTGGTAGTGAACAGAATATAAACCTCACGTTATCTTGGGTAGTCACACAAGGTGCATGTGAATTACATTAATCTTTTGAGTTCACACTGGTAGGTCAGAAATCTCAAAAGGCATTCAGAATTTCTGTTTAGAGTTCTGCACAGGACTTTGGTGAGAAAGGCTTCCTTGGCATACACAGCATTTTCCTGGAGCATTCCAAGTCTGAGAACTGAAACTGTTGGAGCTAGAAGGACAAAAAGGCTGCTGGAACTCCAAGAATAACAAGGATCTATTATCATTGAAGACATCAGAAGTGCAGCTATATCCCATATTATATGTGACACGGTGAACCTGACTCACATCTGCCCAGAAGTCTTTGTGGCAGGATGGAAACTGAACCCATCCCTCCAGATTCCCATGTCAGAGCCCGCACGGCTCCCTGGTGTTGCCTTCCAGCCATTTGGGCTCAGTCCATGCACCCAGCTCAGGGTCACAATTGGGCATTTACCACACTGGTTGTCTGGAGATCATTAGAGCAGAATAATTTTCTCTACATCTCGGTGTGGACAGTCTCCTTGCAGAACAGCTGCTTTGGTACATTACCAGCTGTTGGCAAATCTTAAGGCAAGGTGTGAAATGGATAAAAAGAGCCTCTGTTGTATCAGAAGCAGCACACAGACCCTTTCTTTTCTGTCAAGGTTTTGAGCCAAACCCAGTATCTCTCACACCACCAACAAAGTATGATAACATAGACTAATTTAGATTTCAGAGAAACCATTTATACATTTGTAAAAAAACCCTAAAGATATTTCAGTTTGAAGACTCTAAAGGAATGCAGTGATGAGAAGAAAGCCATGTGCACTGAAAGGAACTATAAGTTTGAGGAGATTACAATAAATTGCTAAATAGGCTGGGCAAGTAAAAATTCTTCATCCTTAAGAGCCATTAAAACAAGGCTAAAAAAAGTAAGTTTTTAAAGAAGCTAATTAAGAAGCTTCTTGCGTGTGGTAACTCATGTAAATCTGCACTGTTAAAACAAGGTTAATACCTCGACAGAACTTCAAGGCACATTATTTATGAGTTTCCATGAAGTGGTATTGTAGCACTCAACAAACATGAAAGAGCTTAACATTACGTCAGCACTGTGGGACAGAACATGTTTATTAACCCTATTATACAAATGAG